TCACGCGGGAGCAGGAGGTGGTTACGCGACACGTAAATATTTATCCCGTTTGACGTCATGAGCGGTACCTAAAAATTTTCGGTAGTCTCAATTGATGTCATGCGGCATATTGCAGTTGTATCGTATACTATTCTCGAAGAGTCTACCACCTCGTTCGAGTATATATCTCAAGTTTCATTCGCCTCGGGCTGAATAGTGTCGTCGCTCTGTCGGCGGCGACCGAATCGGCGGGTTTAGAGTTCGCTCAGCGGAGCTCAGAAACGCGGCATACTCGGGTCCAGACAATTGCTGAAAAAGTGGAAAAGCGTTTCTTCCCATGGAGCTCTCGCGCGCGTGATCGGCGGCAGTTTCTTGGCGATAAAAGTGGACACGTTTCGCCGAGAACGTGCCCCTTAAAGCGCCACTCGATATATTGAGAACGTGTGCAGGATTGATGCTCGGCTGACCCTTATCGGCTGGTATCTGCACAGAAGCTCTTCGCCGGCCTCCTGTGGGAGAGGGGCGTGTTGAAACGGCGTCTTTGTGCGCGCGGTTGATCTTAGGCCACTATATACCCGTTACGTTGATCGGTGAATGCGCTGCTGACACAGGAGCGGCGTGCATTTTTGCAAGGGAGACGCGGTGATTCGCGCCAACGGCGGCACTTTCTTTGTCCGCTCGTTCAACTGGCGAAGATGTGTTTGTGTGCGCGCCTAGTGAGGTGCCTGCGCTTGGAGCTGATTTCAGCGTCTTCCCGCGCCGTGGTGGTGTGACACCTTATAGGTGCTATAGTCTTCATCTTCCCTGGCGCCGACAGTTGTGTGCAGCTTTGTGTCTTCGTAATGGTGCGCCTCTATTGGAGCAGCAACACTCTCCAAACTGCTGACATATTATTCGTCAGGTAAGGGGCGAGCTTCGTCATCGGCCCTAGTGGCTTGGGAACGTATATATGTCGCCCTGCTGCTGAGTACCGCGTCTCCGATTCGATTCCTAGTGACGGTGGCACTTCAGTTCATAGTATTGAGTGCGAAATCCCCCCCCCCCCGAAAAAATTGAGAGTGCACGATGTGGAGGGTTAACTAAGCCGGACCACCTATCCTAGCCTGTGTACGATGCCCCTTATAATATATTTCTTTCGTTTCTTTCTTTCTTTCTTTCTTTCTTTCTTTCTGTTTTTTTTTCTTTCTTTGTCTTATGTAGCACACATCGCAAAGCGAAGGCTTCTCGAGCAGTAGTACTAAGGTGGTGGGGATTTCTGGCGTTAGTCAACTTAGTGAATGAACTCAACAGCTTCACCTTACTTCACTCACCTGTTGACATAAATGTGCAGGCATCTATCTACATGATCACGACGAAGAAGCTTTTCTTGCTTCCCTTTTTATTCGCATGTTTAGCGTGAAAACTTCGACATCAACGCCACAGTGTTGTCGTTACTGCTGTTACTGGACACTTCTGGCCAGAATCCCGTTATAGGTCTTCTCTGTAGTAAAGCCGCAATATGGGCTATACGCTATTGGCGAAGTGGCCGATACTCTTGACGCTGCGTGTTTACGGCCGTTAAATCGTTCTGATCATATATATATATATATATATATATATATATATATATATATATATATATATATATATATATATATATATATATATATATATATATAGGGAGAGAGAGAGAGCACTGGCCGGTTATTATGACGGTTATGAATGCTAACCGCAACCACTCGATATGAGAAGACAGAAACACAGAATGGAATTTCTTAAACTAGTTTACACGAACAATACACCCCTAGACTCATCATTATTTCTGTCGCCCCTATTAACCCGAATCACTCGTCACCGTATACAGACAAGATGCGTTAACACCCTACTTCGCGAGAACGAATACATTTAAAAATTCTTTTTTCCCTCGTACAATAACTGAATGGAATTGCGCAATCGAATCGACACCAAAATGTTGACTATTATTAATTCGCCAAACGTAAAGACTTTATTTCTGTGTTAGTGTTCTTGTTTCATTTAATCTTTTGTTTTCGACATGTTCACTGTTGTACCATTTTATTTGCCCTCCCTGCTTGGACTACGTGTCCGCAGGAGAATATATGTATAAACTATTTTGAGAACTTACGTTGGATGTGCTCAAGGTGATTTTGCAGGCGGCAAAGCCGAGTCTCGTGGGACAATACTGAAATGAACACACGTAATAATAATTGAAATCTTGTCTTGAACGTTATACCACTGCCAGGTCAGTGCTGCACAAACCAATGAAGGGAAAAGAGCGAGAGAATCAAATCTCATTGTCTAGACCGGGCTGTTTACGCCCGTAGGTAGGTGGCTCTGCCTGCAGTCCAAGTAGCCGCGAGCTTCAACGCTGACATCCTGTAGCCCTGTTCACCTGCTGTAGGTGGTCCTCGAGATTTGGGCTTGCCAACTGTGACTTCCATTGGTGGTTTCATGAATATGCGTTGTTTGGGGACTCTTGTTGTTACACTCGCAAGTCGTGTGGTAGAGTGCGTTCGGCAGCTTGCAAAACGTGCAGTTGGTTGGCTGGTTGCTAACAACTCTATTGGAAGTCCGGCAGAGCTTTCGCTGACCGGGCCTTGGGTCTTCCGCGTGGGGACGTCAAGACCTTGCCCGACCGCCGCCTCGCAGGCCTGCTGGACGGCCCAGAGTTGATCGCCGAGGCTGGGGCGGCACAGGGCGGTGGCCAACCGCGCAGTCTCTTCCATACTTTCCAGGATGCATCGCGTGCAGCAGAATGGCGGTCCAGACGAGTTTCTCGCAGGACATTTTGTCTGTAGTTGAAGAAAAGTTCGTCCTGCTCCGGGATTCGAGCCACTGCAACAGGGTTTTTGTTCTTTTTTTCGGGGGGGTCTCAGGTTAGCTCGCGTAGCGATTGTCCCGGAATGGTTTTGGTCCAGGGTTCGAACCCCAGCCCTTGGAGTTTCCGATAACCGTAGCGAAAACTTTCCTGACATACAAATCCGTTCGGTATTACTTTGTATCGTAGTGCTACGAATGAACGCAGATCGCAAACATTTTTCCTATTTCGTGTTCGTGGCCGATACCTATAGGCCGAGGCATCGAAACCAGCTTTGCTGGACTGTAAACAAAGTTGTTTCATTTACTCGCGAGAGTTCCTTGGTGGCAATTTATTGCGCGTGCACTGAACTGTGTAACTTCTGACAGACGTGTAGGTAATTTGTTTTTACGTTACGTCCCTACCTGAATACGTTCGCGGCGACCTGGATTCAAACGCGTAAAACTCGTGTCTCAGCCGCATGACAATGAAGCAATGTAGATACCTCGGTGGTGATAAGAAATGAATCGATATTGCAAAACTTTGGAAACTTGGAACTACAGCACGTGCGTACAATGCACGTGAGTGATACCGTCCTTATTAGCTTTGTGGAAAAGATAGGTAGGGTCTTTTCCTTCTTTTTTTTGCACTATTTTTTGTCGGTGTTTTTGTCTTTGCGTCGTGCGCTTTGAAAAGTCCCGTTGCCTTGACTGTGCTTAACTGGTTCTTATCTGTGGTGTTTGTCAAAGCATTTGCGATCTTGTCTGCGTGTCGTCTGTTGTTTAATGTACAGATTTTGTGTCTGCCGATTCTATAGCGTGGCATAACCAGCTCGTCATTGCTGATAATTTTTATCTATTAGGAAATATAATAAAAGGCAAGGTTTTGTTGCGCAAGCATACGTAGGAAAGACGTGGCAAGGTCAGAGGTATCAACGCTTGGTGGCATTCAAGTGATGTACTACAGGCGCTGAACTGACGATATATAGATGCGATGTAAAAGACTCGAGAACACTTTACCAGACTAGTAAAAAAAAGTAGGTAGGAGGAGTAAGTGAAGAAATGAAAGGCAAGCAGGTCAACCAGACGCGCTTCCGGTTTGCTACCATGCACTGGGGGAAGGTGTAAGGAAATTAAAAGAGAGGAGAGGTAGAAGAGCACCGTGTCGGTACATGTGCGCCTGGCGAAAGTAACCGTGACAGAGGCAGGGAGTGGAAATGGCAAGGTACAGAAACGTAGTACAGGGCAACTAACGGAAAGCAGATAGCGGGATGTTCTGCCAAGGTTCAGAAACGTTGGGTAGTGTAACTAGCGAAAGCAGATAGCGGGATGGTTAAGGCAAGCTACAGAAAAGTTGGACCAGGCAAGTAGCGGAAAGTAGGCTGGTTATGTCAAGGTAAAGAATTGTTAAGCAGGACAACCATAGTGGAAAGCAGGGAACGAGGCGCGGGCTGGGTATTGCGAAGTACATCAATGTTGGACAGAACTAGCAGAAAGCCAGGGAGCGGGCGCGTTTGGAGAAGGTACAGAAGCGTTGGACAGGGCAACTAGTGGAAAGCAAGGAACGGAGAGTCGGGAGCGGGCTGGTTATGGCATGGTACAGAAACGTTGATTCTAAATGCAAAACGTGGGGCACAGCATGGAACAATGACTAGAGAAGAGAACGATGACACTGGCATCCGGGTCGTCTGCCTCTTTTCTATAGTTCCTGTTCCGTATTGCGCTTCACTTTCTGCATTTAGAGTGAATCGTTTCCCTTGTAGCCCGAATGTCATGCTTTGCTACAGAAACGTTGAACTGGACAACTATAGCGGAAAGCAGGCCGCTGGCAGGTTACGGCAAGGTACAGAAATGTTGGACAGGGTAACAAGCGAAAGCAGAGGGCGAGTTTAATAGGGCAAGGTATAAAAACGTTGGACAGAACGACTAGCGCAAAGCAGGACGCGGAGAGCTGTCTTGTTATGGCAAAGTACAGAAATGTCTGAGAAGGCACTAGCGCGAAATGCGGGGAGCGTGCCTGTTGGGGCAAGATGCAAAAACGTTCGACAGGGCAACTGGCGGAGAACTGGGAGCGGGTTGGTTACGACAAGGTACAGAAACGTGACAGGGCAGCTAGTGGAGAGCAGGGTTTTTTTTGTTTGTTTGTTTTAAGAGCGAAGGACAGTGAAGTTAGACAGGGCAACTAGCCACACGTGCTGACATTAGGTTCGCGTGCTGCATCGTCGTAGCCCCGCACCGGTGGCCGAGGCGTCGGACCGGCTTCGCCCGAGGCCGGCAGCCTCGCCACCCGCCACGACACCAGCGGCCAACGCAATGGCAGCCACGGTGGTGACGTCGGCCGAGCCGGACGCCGCGTCCAACGCTGAACCGACCGGCCAGCGGACTCGCCGCCGCAAGAAGTGAGTTGGGTCTCGTCGCTAGACGGTGTCGCGAAGCCAACTGCTTGCCGAGATCACATCCTGGACAGCAATATACAAGAGCGTAGAAATCTCGCTGTTGTGCATGCAGAAAAACCGCAACTACACCCAATGCGCTTGCTCCTTGTAAATTTTTTTATTTGTCGTACTTGACAGTGCAATACCGTTTCTGCATATTGTCTGGACGCATCATTGCCATCCTGCACGACAAGTCGCAATGCTCAATGAGCTGTTTCAGCTTCGTTGGTCCACGTTTCACGATATCGTCAAGTTAAGTTCGCTTAGTATAAATCTTTCAATGTGAAAACGCGTCTCCAGGATGCGCCACCACATGTGTCTTCCTTTCCTGAACACTCGTGTTGCTCCGCATGCGACTTCGTGTGTAGAAAAATAGAAATATGTGTGGTTTTGCCATCAGAATGCTGCACTGCTTGTCGCACTGCGTTACACTGCTTGTTGTACGCGTTAAGTTTGTGTCACTTCTTTCTTCAGCATTATTAGTGCTGTGTACCTGTTGTGTGCATTGTTTCTTTCTCCTCTCTATTGAATCGCATTGTTCGTCATAATTCATGTTTGCACGTGTAGAACGCATTTTTTTTTCACAATTTCATTTTTTATGCATCTTTACAGTGCACATGCCGCAGTTCTTCTGCAAAGCCGGCTTTTAGATTCAGCGTGGAAATTTTTTATTATTATTAATATTATTATTGCAAATTTTCATTCGGCGTTTCTGAAACGCGTATAGTTCAGCCACCAGGCTTCTGAGCTTGGGGGGAAAGCCAGCTTCTCGGTGCCGTGGCGGACAGCGCGCATTCATGGGAGCAGTTCGTTCTGTAGGAAAAAAAAAAGAAAAAAAACTAATTGTTAACATACCAGGGACACAAAATTGAAGAAAAAAACATTCCGTCACTCAGAAGTATCCCACTTTCGAAACGTTTGCTGTCCCACTGGTGATTGGCCAGGTGCTATGATTTCGTCACCAAACGTCAGGGCGGTAAGGGCGAAATCATGGCGGCTGACGAATCGCGAGAAACCAAGCATACGTTTCGGAACGTAGATTCTATTTGCTAGCGCGTCCTCATGACCTCATCTGCAGAAACGCTAGTGCGTCCGTCCCATACGTGTCGGGCACTTCTGCAAAGTGCGTCAATACTAAGTAAAAACAAAAGGGGGAGGGGGGTACGCAATGGGCATCTGCACAAGCAGGCGTTTGGCGAGTGGCGTCATCGTGGACCCGAGCCAACCGAAGGATTGGGGGGGGTCCGACCTCCTCCCGCGCTTCGCCGTGCGTGGCTTAGTCGTGTCTGGGGAAAGCGGATCCTGGGGGTTGAGCCGACGCTGGCTGTACTGTCCATTAAGCCCCCCCCCCCCCCCCCCCGGCAGAGGCAACGCATCCCTTTGGCCCCGGCTTCACGTAGACGGCACCGCAGGGCTGACACACCCAGGAGAAATTGGCAGTCACCTTTTCCTATCTCTCTTTCTCCCTAGATCTTCGTATTTATCACCCACTTTTTATCTGTCCTGTCATTGTCTACTTCCGAATTTCCTAGCGGCTAGGGTTAACCCTGTGTAATTTCTCAAACTTGATAGTTATATATGGTTATAGCGGCGATGCATGATTGGCGTTTTCATGTGTCCTACCTTGCAGGGTCCCCTTGTTGACCTCGGTAGTGGGTGGCCACCATCGTCACCAAATATTATGTTTCCAATATGACGCATTTTTTCCCCAAACTCCCTGACCACCACCCGAAAAGGTGGCGCACCGAAGAAACCTTCGCATTGCAGAAACGAAAACAGTTTTTCCCCAAGTACCATATTGTGCACAACCAAAAATAAAACAAAACAGTCCAATCATTGTCGCCTTTTCTTGTCCTGAAAATGCTCACAGAAGCCATTGGCCCAGGCTGCGATGTAACCAAGTTGGGAAGCGGTGACCTCCCTTTGGAGGTACGCGACAAGCTCCAATATGATGACCTGTTTGAACTCGTAGCATTTGAGGACGTCACAGTTTCAGTAGGCTCACACAGGCCAATGAATACAGTGCACAGTGTGGTCTCTGATGATGACCTCCTTCAACTGCCTGAAAGTGAATTATTAGAAGGCTGGAAAGACCAGAATGTAGTCAAGGTCTAGAGAATAATTATACGAGACAATAGGGAAGTACTCACCAAACACATAATTGTCACCTTCGGTACCAGTTACTTACTACAATCAATCTAAACCAGCTACTGTAAGCTTTATGTCAGGCCCTATGTGCCAAATCCTTGTCAATGTTTCAAATGCCAGCGCTTTGGACATGGGTCGCAAAGCTGCAGAGGGTGCCCTACTTGCGCAAAATGTATATCCAATGAGCACTTATCAGAAAATTGCACTTCAACAGTCTGTTGTGCGAACTGGGAAGGAGACCACCCTGCGTACTCAAGATCGGGCCCAACCTGGAAAAGGGCAAAAGAAATCCTTGAGCTCAAAGTGAAATTCAATCTGTCCTTCCAAGAGAGACGTAAACGCTTTGCACTCCATCAGTCCAGTCCCTCGTTTGCCGATGTGATGCACCGGGGTGCCACGCTATATCTTTCTGCACCCGCGAAAGTCGCACAGAGTGTAACCGCATCTGCGCCACCAGCTTCACCCGGCAATACTCGGCACAGTTCACACCGCGTATTGCTCATTGCAGATCACGCCACAAGTTCAGCCATATAAACAGTTTCATTTTTAACAAGGTGCCTCCGTGACATTATATACATTGTTTCGAATGAATATTCCTGGCAGACTGCTTTGAGTATATGAAAGGATGCAACTGTTAAAAACATAACATTTATTCTGTGCTTTCAGTGCGGATTCAGCCTTCATAAAAGAGCCAGTCCCCAGGTGAAAGCTAAAAACTAATGTTATGGTTTTCCCTGCGACTTCAATGTGCACGTACGTGCGTGCGTGTTTGTGCGTGTGTGAGAGAGATTTTAACAGTTCAAGTTAACACGTTCAGTTCAGAGTGCCGTCAAGCGAGGGTCGCATTTGGATCATGAGGCATGTATATCCGCTATTACGACACTGCTTTACCACTCTGCTATTAAACTACTCTGCTATAATATCACCGTTTTGAAAAATTCTCACAGCTACGTGTTCATAGCAGACTTGTGTGCAAGTGCAACACCTCAATGAAATTTTGAACTTGTGGTGGTTTAGGAGCTTTTTAAGATTGCAAGTGAGCTTACTCACAAGCCCGTAATTTGGGAATTTTGTATGAAAAGAAGTATTCTCTCCAGCTGTGGTGCACTTGTGTGGATTTTGTACATTTATTCAACTATGGAACAGCTTATATCATGTGTGCAGTTTTAATTAGGCTATGGCTTCATTTTTTGTGAATTTCTGGCTGGGAAAACCTCAATGAATTTGCATGTTCCTGGTAGTTATTTTTTTAACTGTTAGTTGCACTTCCAAATAGCGATCCACTGTCTGAATAATGTACGAGTATGCATTGTGCAGGAGGAAACCTGAGGGCTCCCCAACTCTCCAAGTGTCGCTGCATAGCAATCGGCATGAAGCTGCCAGGTGGGTTTGCAACTGAGGCATGCCCGTGGGGGTGTAACCGCATTGTCTCCATTAATTCTGTGAAGTCTTAAGAATTGCTATATTTTGGCTTATTTACCTTCAATGTAAAAAAAGAAATCTTGCTTTGAAATATTATGCTCAGATCTGATGCAGCACATTGTATGGGTTATTTATTGCTGTAAATCATTAATTTCTCAGCACTGTTTAATATATTAAGGCTTCTATCTCAAACTAAAGAAGTGCTCTAGTTTATCTGTACTCTTACTACAGCATAGTCAATTTCTCTCATTAGCATTAGAGATGAGAGACAAGGCTCTACAGAAAGCCATTTTCCAAGACAAAGTAGGTGAACAAATTAAATGTGTCTTTTTTGCTACACATCGCTGGGTAGCATTATAAAGTGTTGAGTCAGCAACATACATAGTATAATGCCCTTCCGTTTATAGCATCAGAGAGTTACTGTAAGTTATCAGTCAGGTGTGTTCACAGCACTAAGTGTGTTTTTATTGTTCAGTATCATATAGCAAAACTACATTGCATAAGAGTCAGCAGGTAGGTGTTGCATCTGTAGCTGAGCCATTTTCTGCAGATGTTGCGTAAATATTCCTAATTGTTAGTGCCTCATTATTTATTGAGGGCAGTCAATTAGTGATAACAACTGTATGGCATAGTACACAGCATGAATAATAAGAGCTTACATAGTTCTGTGCTAAGCAGCTGTCATTTGGGACAGTTTTCTGTAGTAACACTTTCTGCACATGAAAGTTTGTGTGAACATGCTGCCCAAAAGTGCAGTTGAGGATCATCCTTGATGGGCCTATTTTTATTGTGCTTCGACATTCTATCAAGCGCCTTGGATTCATATGAATTCAGGAAAAACAGGAGCAAGGAGAGTGACGTGACTTGCAGTATCCTATACCTTACTCAAAGGAAAATGATCTCTGCAAACTACAATGCATATTCAGACCATCTGGAAATAACCAGCCGAATAGCTTCCAGTTAAAGTCACCTAAGGGATATTCCTCTTATTGCTGCAATGTGGATGCGTGGCCCTAGCACAATCACAGTATGTCCAAACCAACTGGAATGCATGGTTACAAATGCAAAATGCTGACTTGATTCTGGAAGCGCTGCGACTACATTTCTGAACAACAGAAGCACCCAGGGCATGTAAACTTCAACTGAAAAGCATCACTGTTCCTATCAATTGGTGTCAGCTGCCGCTTTACACTTCGCACTCGCGGACTGTATGGACTAATGTAATGTGCCATGACAATAACGTTGGTCAATGTCTTCACCATCACTCCGCACCGCAGGTGTCCATCGCCATCAAGCCCAAGTCAGAGTCCACAGTTGGGCGCTCGGTCCCCGTGTTTTGATGTGGAGCGCACAGCAACCTCTGTTGCTACTGTGCCATCACCCGATGCTTCTTCAGAGATTGCGACTGCTGTAGGCGACAGCCAAGGATCTCTGGATCGGGCGTCGGACTCGTCCCGGTCTTCGCAGGTAATTCGCTTACTTTCACCTCAAATGAGCAAGTGAATTGCATAATAATCCGCAAGTCTGAGGTTTGTTGGTTAAAGTGAAAAAATTTTGGCCCACGCTGCCTGCTAGCCTCCTTTTTCGACATGATCATCCGAAAATAAGCATCGACGCAATTTTATTTTTGAGAGGGAATGAATTCAAGAGGGACAGTACAATTAAAATTAATATACTGTAGACCCTTAGTAAACAAAAATTTGTTACATGGAACAACTGCTCAAATGGAACTATTGCCTTTGCAATGCTTGGTTTCGGGCATGTATTCTGCACCCATGTTCACCTCTCGGTAAACGGAACTCCTGTTAAATGGAACATATTTTCCCAGTCCATTCAGGTTCCGTTTACTGAGAGTCTACTGTAGGTTGTCTTCTTCTACAAGCATGTGCTGATATTGGAGGTAAACTGGCACAGAAGATGTGTTTCGTAGCAGCACCGTTGCTTTTGAGAAGTTCGAACAAGGTCAGCACTGACATGACCATCGACGGTAAGGGTGACCTTTCGCCCGCAATTGTAATCTTTTATTGAATTTGTATGCCAAGCGTAACATGTACACATTAGCAGTCATGGTATTTAGTGCACCATTTCTTCTTGCAGTCTGTCTGCTTCATCTCGGTGCTCACTCATATTGTCTTACTCTCTGCATGATGTGTGCCAGGTGACCTTGAGACTTCAGTTACAATTTACGGTCTATAAAACACATCTAACCTATTGCTGTGGTCCTAAGTCGGCATACCTCTCTCACTCGGCTCAAAGCAGTGCCTGCTGTATTTTCCTCGCTGGGCACTCTGGGGATTTAAAGACAGTATTATGGGCTAAATGCTGTGGGCCACCATTTTCTTGGTAGCTAGCAACGAATGTCAGAGTCAGACTGCATGACATGGGCACTGATGCGAAACTTGAGGGCCACTTCAGAAAGTCTGCACATTGGTATAGGAGTGCACTCATATTCTGTCATGAACAGACTGCAATATCAGCCAGTATAATTTCGCGGTCTACCTATTTCATGAGTGTTCGACATGATGCGAGTAGCACGTACAAATAACCTACTTGGTATGTGTGTTGTGCAGCCTCTACCACCACCCTCTCTCCTTGGCTGTCCTTATGAAATCGGGACGTCGCCACGGCCTAGTCCGGAAGGGACGCGTGATCCCTTATCTCGAAGCCTTGAAAAATCTACAGACAGTAAAGGAAGCAACAAGATGCTTGAAAAGAAAAAGAAGACTTCATCCTGGTATAATGTAAGTTCATCCTTTCTACATTTACAGCGAGTTTTATTAACATTTAAGACTTGCACTGTCATTGAATGAAAAAAAGAAGTGATTTGCTGCGTCATTCTATTGTGTAGAAGAATGAGAGGCAGCAGATCCTAGACAGTGAAACTGATGATTTTCCCGGTGGCGATAGTTGCATGAGATGCTCCAAAAAGACGCGCCCAAGTGAGCCCAGTTTTTTTTAATACTGCAGAGTTAAATCAGGTGTTCACAACTGCGAGAAAAGCTGCGCATGTTCTGTTCTCTGCTGAGAGAGAACTGAAGAATCTTGTTGGACAACAAGGCGAGCTTATTCGGAGTCCATTCTACTAAGTTTTACTGTTCTGTTCATGTAAACACTTTAGAATTACTGAATAGAACCATCAAATTCTCAACGAAAGTGTTATCTCATAGTACATTTAGTGCATAATAATCATGTTGTCACTAATAAAGTAGGTATTTGTATTGATGACTTTATCTGATGTAACTGGGAACAGTGCTACATTATCCTTATGATAAATACTCTTACAATGCTAAATTAACAAAGTCTTTATAATCGTTTCCAATGCACGCAGCAAGCCGTGTTTTTGTTCATCCAGTCGCCATGACACTAAAGCTGCTCATTTTTTGCCTATATTTTGTCATCGATCGCTTGATTGATCATGGTAGAGATTGTACAGGACATAAGTAAAATTAAACATTAATCAATGTTTAGCAGTGAGTTTTAATCATCTATCTTTTGGGTTTACTTTATAGATGCTGAATCCGACGTACAAGTCGCGCAGTGAAGACTTCAAACGGCTCTTCAAGGACTTGCCAGAGACGGAGCGACTCATTGTCGGTACGATTCTGTTTACCCATGCTGGAGTTCATGCTTCTCAACTAACTTTTCAGGAATGTAATCAAGCTCAAATAAGCTCTCAGCATAGTGTTCATCAGATTTCTTTCTTTACTGCAATGACCCCTGTGCAATTTGTCACTGATAGTATTCGAGTGGGATTAATGAAACATGTTGTGTACTGCGCAACTTGCTGCTTGGGGTAAAGAAACCTTCTAGTTTAATAACCTTTTTTGATAGAAATGTCAACATAAACCACCTGTGACCTGCCATTCACGTCAAGCATGATCTCATTTTTCTGTTCTTTTGCATTGAACAGCTTTATTTTGGTTTGCTATCGATGGCGACCGTGCTGTCATTGCTTTGGGGTTGTTTAGCTTTTTTTTAAATTGATATGTGAAAGAAGCTGTGTATTATACCACTGACCTCTGCAAAAGAATTAATGTAGCCAATGACGAGGGCCCGTTTTTTTCTACAGACTACTCATGCGCCCTGCAGAGGGACATCCTTGTGCATGGGCGACTGTATGTGACGCAGAACTTCATCTGCTTCTACGCCAACATATTCCGCTGGGAGACAAATGTGAGTCTTCGTTACGACACAATGCATTGACAAGCTATGTAGTTGGGGCTTGTCCATAGTAACCTTTGGCGCAACAAAACAACACAAAAGAAACGACAAGACACAGCACTGTCCTGTTGTCTGGTGTAGCTTTGGAGCTTTTCTCAGTGTGTCCACCTAGTGGTCATACTTACTTCGTCGGAATGCATGCTGTTACTTGAGAAAGCCGTGATGTCATCTCGATGGTCAACATGTCGACGCACCGAACCCCCTCAGCACAATGCCGGCATAATAAGTGAGGAAATGGCCGAAAGAATTCACGAGCAAAACAAGACCAAGATGGCAACGCTGGGTGGCGTGATTGTGAAATTGCAAACGCGCGAAGTTGGGGTATTTTCAGCGCTCGCTGGTCCCTCACCGGTTGCCGTAATATGTTATATAATTTATTTGATATACTTTCACGATGAATTAAACATTGATATTTACAGAACAGATAGTTTATAAGACATACCGTAATTACTCAAATCTAACGCGCACTTTTTTTCCGGTTAAGCAAGCTCATAAATCGCATGCGCGTTAGAATCGAGTACGAACAAAAAAATTACGATCAATCTACTGCCATCGGCAAATCCAAAATGGCCGCCCCCTACGTGCGTCGGCATGGCGCGTCGGCCATTTCTGCCTATGTGTTTCATATGTGCGGCACTTCGTACGTGTGCTGAGGAGTTCGTCATCTAGTAGTGCATTAGCATCGAGGGCGTAAAAGGGCCGACTCCAAATACTCGAGTGCACCACGATGCCGCTTTTAAAAGAAAAGTCATCGCGTGTGCAGAAACGGACAGAAATCGGGCCGCATCGCGGTCGTTCGGAGTTCCCGAAACGTGCATGCGGGACCGGCGGAAACAAAAGCAGAAGATTGTCGACAGCAAAGCTTCACGCAAAGGCTTCAGTGGACCACATCAGGGTCGGTTTCCGCAAATTAAAGAGCTGCTCGGCGAGTATGTGCTTGAGCAGCGAGCGGCACAGCGGCCCGTGACGACAGAACTGCTCCAAGTGCGGGCTATGCAATTAGTCTTAGAAAAAGGTCTAATGCGGAGCCAGTTTAAAGCGAGCAGGTGCTGGCTAACTAACTCTATCAAGAGGAAAGGCTTTTCCCTCCGAAGGGGAACATGCATATGCGAAAACTTTTGCGGAGGAGTACGATGAAAAGCTTCACAGTTTTCAGAGGTTCGTCCTAAACTTGCGGCGCAACAATGGCTACCTGCTTGGGCAAATCGGGAATGCCGATCAGACGCCTCTTTACTTCGACACGCCTGGCACCACAACCGTCGAGAAGAAGGAGGCGAAGCAAGTTCGCGTGCTGACATCGGTCCACGGTAAAACTACAGTGACGACAATGCTTTGTTACACGTCAGATGGGCACAAGCTTCGCCCGTACCTCATATTTAAATGGAAGATGCTCCCGAAAGGAGTCGTTTTTTCGAGTGATGTGATCGTGCGGGCCAGCGAGAAAAATGGGTGCGCGTTGTTGCAATCGATGTCTTACGGTTTTTTTTTTTTCGCGGTGGAAATCGGGTGCGCGTTACAATCGAGGGCGCGGTAGAATAGAGTAAATACGGTACTACCTGAATATGTTGTTTTCAAAAAATCAACTTCTTCGCGATTTTTCAGTTTTCAAAGGGCACGTCCCCCCTTAAACAAACTTGACTGGTCTGTCATTGGGTATGAATGTGTCCACAATGCTTTAAAATGACGCATCGAATGTGTGCCAACCTTCACCAGTGCATTAGGCAGGCAGCTGCATTATACATAGTTTGAGGGCTAATGCGATCAGCCTCTGAACTTCGCATGGCTAAACGCGAATCTCTGGAGACTGCATTTGTTGTGTAGAGGCAGATTCTGTCCGTCTCATTTGTGTCAAGACTTGTAAAAGCTTCAAGACGTTATAATGACATTGCAAAAGAAGAACCAGAAACAGGAGGCGTGAACTCCAGCTAACCAGCAACAGTCGAAATGGACAGTCCTTTAAATGAACATATCGAGAATAGCTTCCCTATTTTATAATATATTGCTTTCACTATGAATGCTCTGACTTTCAGGTGACTGGTACTTTTCTATCAAACACACTATCAATGTGACGTAACATTCGTGATAAGGAAGCAGTGAGCATGAGCTTTTCCAGAAAGCAAACACCAGGAAGCCTGATCAGTATTTTTGTGAGAAAAAAAAGGTGCCCCAAAATGTGCAGCTTTATTTAGGATGTGGACAACGGAATGCACAACACGGGCTGCAAGTGCTACTGCAGTTCACTGATGGAGCTCTCATGCACTACAGGTTGTGATCCGGTGCAAGGACGTCACCAGCATGACTAAGGAGAAGACTGCCCGAGTTATTCCCAATGCAGTTCAGGTATGCACAGACCACGAGAAGCACTTCTTCACATCATTTGGGGCACGGGACAAGACGTACCTTATGCTGTTCCGGATCTGGCAGAATGCGCTGATGGAACAGGTAAGCTGAACATGCACTAATTCCTGCACTCTGGTGTCAGCACCCTTGAGGACTGTGCCCCATTGGCATTTGCCAGTTCGCGGAGGTGTGGAAGTCGTTGAGCCAGTTCCATTGCATTGCGACGTGTTGGCTCACCAGCCATCCTATTCCATTGTGATGGCCTTCGCACTATGTGTTTTACACCTATAGGACTGCTGGACAAGGACTGCTGGACATTATCTCGAATTAGATCACTGAAAGGCAGAAGTTTGAAGGAAGATAGAAACTTAAAGAGGTAAAAAATTCCTGAACACAGGATGTTGCTAAAGCCAGCATTTTGACAAGCGCACTTGTTTTCTTCAAGGCTGCAACTGCAGCCTTGAATTTGCATTCTTGCAGAACACAAATCCCCTTGTTCAAATAATGGCTTCAGCAACACCCCATATTGAAGAATATTAGATCAATAGCTATGCCACGGCCTCCAACATTGCGCATCTACACCTTGACAGGCATCGAAACATGGACCTTGTTGAAAAAAAGCTTTAAGAGCAACTTTAATCACTACTATTAAAAACCTCTCTTCAGTCACTGGTAATAGTTTATTACTTTTAGTCCATTACTCCTATTTCACAACACACTTTTGCTTAGCATAGACGTTATGGTACAGCTAGAGCTTCTTCATTCTTTAGCAGAACTGACCTAGCGACTTCCACTACCATAGCTATATGTGTGGCCAGGGGACAGACTTTGCGGGGACTGAGATCGGAATGCAGCTCGGGCAATTACTTGCGTCCACCAGAGTAGCCCTGCTGACTGTGGCTTTGCTCCGGGCAGCCCATGTCAACACAGGAACTGTGGCAGTGGGTCCACTACAGTTACGGAGATGAGCTGGGGCTGACGAGTGACGATGACGACTACGTCGCACCGCCATATCTGGAGGACGAAGCACGCCGAGGACGGCTTGCCGCTGCCCTCAAGGCAGGTCCTCAGCCACCTAGCCCCTTTGTGAGTAACGGTGTTGGTAGCTTTTCATCCGGACAAATTCGCCAGGCCGTGGCTTAAAATGCTCAACATAAATTGGTGCATAACGACACTCCAAAATTTTTCGTTCTATGTTCTGTGCTGCTATATTAACTGTAATGTGAAACCCAATTAAGAAGACTTCAAGGCAACCACAAAAACTGTTGTATGATACGCGCATGATATTATTGAAAAATTGTAGATTCAGAGCTTAATGAAGCGCTGATTCTGCTGTGCTAGCGTGAATTCTGAATTTAATGTAGCACTATTGTAGTTCTGGGTATAGGTCTTGGTGTAGTTCTAAACATAGTTTCCTGAAATTAACTACCGTAGAGGGGACACTGGCGCAGCAATCGTTCAGCCACCACGAGAATGATAGGTAGTATACACAAATTTGTCTTGTCTTTGTGCTTGCAGGCTTCGCATGCACGTGCGGCTTTTTTTATTGTTGTGTTTTAGTTTTGTTTCAAATAAAAGAACGAACCGTTGTGAACTTTGCGAACAGATTTAAATTGGTGATCCTAAAAGGTGACCGTGGTGAAGCGTAACTACTGAACATTTGCCGATTGTTGTTTCGTGACAAGGCAGCTTTAAGTCAGTGCGACGCCAACTGGAGCCGAAAGTGCGGAAGGTTAGGCAAATTTGTGTACTACACATCATTTCCATGCCAACTGAAGCGCCGTGCATTGCAGCTCCCATAAACACTAGCGCCAGAGTTCCCTCAGGTGTATTTATAGAAAACTCTATGGTTCTAAACCTTGCTCTAAGTCCTGGGCTAAAGCCGTTCTTGTGTTGGCCCTGGTGTAGTAATAAATCCTGAGCTTAATGCAGATGCACTATAGTGATACCTGGAAAAGTGGGTAGCACGAGCAATGCGGCGATTCCCGTAGTAATCGCGCACTGGCGGAGGTGGTGGCGACCTCTCTTAGTCGGCACACGTACTAGCCGTATGTTTCAGACGCGTTTCTTCTGATGTAGGTAAATTATTGCGATTAATTCCTGATTATCTCTGTATGTTATTTTTGACCAAAAAATAACGGTAGTAGTGATGTTGTCTTGCCCAAGAAGCGGGTAGAAACCATCTGTATGAACTTGCGGCACGAACCAGCACTTTTCGAGAATACTGTATTAATTTATTTTGAAAATGACAGCGAAAAATTGATGAATACGTGAATTATTCTTTTTGTTTGATGAAACGCGCATTTTCTTTCCAATGAACACTGTACGTTCAAGTCGAAAACGGAAACCGAAACCGCGTTGGCACTAGCCTCCTGTCAGAGGGGTTAAATACAGCGCCATTGCTATCATAAAATGGCCGCTTATCGCATATTTTCGCGAGTTCGTGTGTGATTAGTTGGTGCATGTTTCGTTAGTTTCGTGCACGACTGACCGCTTTTGTTGTGAAAGCTGCCAAAGAGGAATAGGGAAAGTTATTTTTCACGTTGAAGATAGCTGCGCCGCGTCGTGTCTGCGTGCTGGAGGCCTGTGATTGTGAGTAGCACGAAACAAAGGGAGGGGGTGTAAACAGGAAAGTTTCCGGACCTCAAAAACTAGCTTGCTGACAACGTCAGTCAATTCCGTGTAGATCAAGCTTATCTTGCTAACGGCTACTTGAATTGAATGCACACGCAATCTATGCGTATCAGAAGGAAACTTATTGGGAAAACTAGGTCACCGCATCAATTAACCTGAGTGAACAGTTAGACCCGTATTTTCTTTACTTTTCTCCCACGGCACCACTGAGGTGTCGTGCACAGCACAATCGGCGTAAATTTGCGTCGTATAATCGAGGTTATTAAAAAAAAGACGTAATCTTTTCGTTTTGCGAAGACTTGACCGATTCGTCTTAAAATATGGGCGAGTCGCGTAAGTATGATAAAGCAATCTAACCGCCGATTTTTATACTGTATCAAATTTCAACATTTTTTTCTCCCCAGAGAAGCGATTTGGAGCGCCGGAATGACTTACTCGTAATAGCGCCCAGGTGTCATATTAGTAAATCCTCCTGTGAAGATAAAGTTGGAGCGAAACATTTAACCTTTTCCTTGACCATTTAGAAACTTTACCTGGGACGTTTACTAGTTGCGTAATCAAAAAGGCGTTCACACTGAGATATAGTTTGTCCTCAGGGTGACGGAATCACGCTGAATTTAGCGCCACTTTTGCTAAGTTACCAACACTGCTAAGTAAAATGGAGAAATGACAGATGGTTATTCATTATTGTAAATCACTTTCCTAATAAAATTTAGCGTTGCCTGCAGCATAGTTAGTTTGGGTCTTCTACATAGTGCTACATTAAGTTTTTCTCATGTGGGTGCTTTGCATATGGGAAGCCAATTTGCCTGGGTTCTAAATTTGCTCGGAACTCTAGATTTCACATTTCATAGATGGGCTCAAGTTGCTGCGTCCCTGCTTTTTTATGTTTTCTGCCCCACGCGGGCACACTCGGTGTTCGAAGACTCTCCTCTGGCTGCTATTTGTCTTCTCTTGTTTTGTCCACTGTAATGGCTCATTGAAATGTCATACCCAACACTTGGGCCTTTGAAACTGCTCGTCTGACTTTTGTGGGACAACTGAGTTACTCATTATAGTGGAGAAATCGCACTGCCCAACTACGTTTAACTTGGCGGTGTTGTTAAAAAACACATCACACTTCACGATTACGGACGACAGGTTAAATTCTTTTGCATCACAAATAATATGGAAACTGCTTACATTTTTGGAAATGTAGTGTGTTGACTGAATATGGGAAGTTTAAAATTAAATTGAGTACTCTGATGCGCAATAGACACCACAAGGCACTAGTCCCTTCTGTCTCTCCTCACTTGGTGCTGTCTATTTCGCTTCACAGTACTCAGTTATGCATCACCAACAACCACAAAATTGAATCACTCTTAAAAAATGAGTTTTGGACAAAGTTTTCTGATAAAGGTCATTACCTAGTCACTTCATTAAGTTAGAGCACCTTGTGCAAACAAGTACGAACTGTGCGAATATGACGACACATAGAAACATGCGTATGCACGTCTGCTCTTTTTGTGTGTGTGGTTGCTGTGTTCTTTCTTGCTGTCCCCTGTGCGTGTTTTAAACTTGTTTGGCTGAAGTTGTGAACCAGCTAAGCCCGAACGACACGCCATCTGTGGTGTCGATTTCTTTCTGGTGTCAGTAGTTTGCATGCTCTGTCTCTTTGAATGAACACTTGTCAACTAGCTGAGCACTCTGTTGACATGCCATACTTGGACCAGCTGACACCTCTGAATGACCATGTACCAGGAGGAACTTCCCAATGAGGAAGAGGATGAAGACGAAGCCTCAGGACCTGAAATGTTTGCTAGTGCTCGAGAAGCTCAGCACTCGGAGATGCCAACGGACGTGAGCGACTCTAGCGACACGGCCGAGCCACCCGAGTGCCCGTCAACGCACGAAGGCAGGCAGATTCTAAACCTGACCCTGCCAATGTCTGTGGACCAGCTGTTTACACTTCTGTTCACGGGGTCGCGCTTCTTCCACGACCTGCTGACTTCGCGCAAGACGTACGATGTCACCGAGAGCAACTGGCAGCCCTGCCCCGAGACGGGAAACCAGCTTCGCCAGCTCACCTACACGGTCACCCTCAACCATGCCATGGCCAAGGCTGCCCAGACAACTGAGACGCAGGTGACTGAGGCTTTGTAAACGTTATTTGTAGGTACCAAGCTCTGGAGTGAGAATGTGTTATTTTATCATTATTATTATTATTGAAATGGAAAGGAGACGGGAGCTATACCACAAATCTTGCAGGTACACTTATGTAAAGAGATTGGAAAATGCATGAGCATGTAACTTGAGTTGCCCGAGCTCACTTTGAAGAAAATTCGACAAACGACTGAAAGTTCTCGTGCGCATTTTAATGCATAGTACTCTGCTTATTCAAGTGTAATGATCAGCCCACGTGGTGATTGGCATTTGTTTTGTTGCATTATAGCACACACATACAGTGAAGGTGAGGGTATTTGTGGCATTTTAATCTGGCAACATGGCCGGAAAGTTGAGGGCTAGTGTTGCTATAATATCTGCTTAAGAGCCAGAAAGAAAGTTTTAAAATATGATCGCTGTGTAAGAAACTTGGACTTCACGTAGCTGACATGCAAAAGGATATTTGCTGTAAGACGCTATCGTTATAAAGCCGAGGCTTGGCAAAGGGAGAGGCAGCTTTGTAAGCTTTTTGTCTGCTAACTTGGCTGCACTGCAAAAAAAAGAAGCGATAGGAAAGATCTTTTTTTCTGCCAAGAGAGTTGTTTCATGACGTAGACGTTTTAGTTAATTGCAAACGTACTGCTGCAGTTGCATTTAATGCAACTTCTAGTCACTGCTTTTGCCAATCTCTTAGCTTTGCTTATGGAATAATAAAGTATGAAACTGTGTAGGATAACTAACTTCAATAAAATAGTCAAAACTTAATGTGTTTGAGTTCACAGACCATGCACCAGAAACAAATACTTATTTTTTATTACCTGTATATTACTGCTATTGTCTGCAACATTTTTCTTCATGTTTCACATGTACAACCAGCTTGTGTGCATCATTTCTTTCCCACATCAGATCCTGCACAAGGCAAGCCGTCCGGGCCATGTTTATGCCATTGACTGCGACGTGCAAAGCACAGGCGTGCCATACTGTGATGCCTTCTGCGTCAAATCCCACTACTGCCTGGCTCGGCTGTCCGACAACCGTTCTCGCCTGTGCATATACGGTTGTGTTCGCTACAAGAAGTCCGTCTGGGGACTTGTCAAAGGTGATGCATTTCCGCAGTGTGTTCACAGTGGCTTTGCGGAACATGCATGTTCAACAATTTCATGTAACTTGTTCTATAGTCCGCACTGTTTCCTTTAATGGCTGTTGAACAGAGCCCAGCTTCACGCCTTCAGTTGGATTTTGCAAAAGTAACTAGAGTTCATATACGAAAAAAAGCACGAATTTTACAAATCGATAACTGTGCAATAAAAACGTGTGCAGCAGATCGGTAACCTGCCTCTGTTCAGGCATGTAAAGGGGGTAAATGTGATGTAGAAGTTCATAGCTTGTCTGAAATAGCATGTGCTGGGTTTCTGTGAAAAATAACTGTATAGAGAAGTGTGTTACACATCGGTTTTGTCTGTCTTGTATGTATTAGCTGTAGTTTACATTGTTGTATCTGTCCTCATTGAGATTTTGTAATCTTCAGTCGTTAGATTTTTATAAGAAATTCTAAGAATATCTTCTTATATATCTTCAGTCGTTAGATATTATAAGAATTGATATACTGAATCGAAAGTACAATTTTTTATTCATAAACAGTGTGCAATGCTGTGCCGGCTGTAGCTGTGTTGACAACTACGGATATATTGGCATTTTAACCAGCATATAGGTAATCAAAATTGCTTTTTCTTCAAGCTGAATTAAAGGTGGAGGTGATTCGGCACATCAAGAATCAAACTATGTTATGCTGATTGCTCATTTTTCTTGAACATTATTCATTTTGTTGTTTTTTATTTGCAACTCATTACTGCATTCCACATTCAAATGCGCATGCGTAGCTCACATGTGTATTTGTCACCATGAAAGCTGATAATTAAGTACTCAATATAAATTCTTCTTACCAAACTTGTGTAGCTTCCACATTACTGTGTTGAACTAAGTATCTGGTAGTAAACTACGTAAACTTTTGCTTAATTGCTGCCAGCTTCATAAAGATGAATGCAGCAAATGCCCCATGCACTTTCTGTATTCGCTTGTACCATATTTCCCAGTGTATAAGTCACACCTTAGTATATACTAGTTTTTACTACATGAGCGGAAAAACAACAGATTTAAAACGCACCTTTGTACATTGTCGTGTATTTTCAACACCATCGACATGCTAAAACGCAACCCACGCACAGTACATTCATTGTAAAATATGTAGTCACGCACGGTGTTAAATGTCTCTAAGTAGCAGTATAAAACTTGTCAATAAGACTGCTTTGAATTACAGTAAACCAATATTTATTCTACAGGATTCGAAGCCATATCCTCAGGTGCACTGTCAAAAGCTTTTCGCCTCGGTTGGCACTGCGAGGTTGTCGTTGCCGGCCTCCATTGCCTAACTTCTTTAGCGGCATTGAAAGCACCTTGGAGCACATCATTGACATTGTCTCTGCAGCATTGAGACTTGGTACGAACACACAAAAAATCATTTTGCCTCATGTTCGATGCCTACATACACACATTCATAAAGTAAATAGCGACCAGAGGCCGGAAGCTGAGAATACTGCAAAACTAGTGATGCCTCAAGTGAAAACTGATGATGATGATAAAGAATTGGTACTTCGTTACTGTTACGAGCATTGTGGACACTACAACATTACAATGAAACATTGTACTACCCTTCTTTATTCATTTGCTCAGGTCCGTAAGTTTAATGATTTTTTAAAAACAAACAATTCGAACAATACAATAGTTCGCATGAAGATGTGGCTGTTATTGTGGCCGTTGACTTCGTGGTAACCGCAATGCTTGAATAGCAATTAGCTGACATCTAATGGGAAATTTCATGGGGCGTCCTGGAGTGGCCACTGAAAACCTGGAGCGAGCAGCCGAATTGATCTAAACCAAATCTGCCAGTGGGACACGTAAATGCTATACGCGAGATCGCTGCAGTGGTTGTTTCTCCATACGTCATGGAAACCTTTCCTGCTACGGCTCGATGGGTTTCCATGGGTCGCCGCAGATCACCGCTTCAAAGCGCGCATTTCAACTACCTGGTGGCGTAAAGGGGGTGTGTCGGTCGTACCGCTTGAGCCGTTTTCTTTTGTAGCGCTGATAAAATAGGAAAAAGTGCATTGAAATAACTTTTTTGATGTAGTCAATGATCTGCCGGAGTGTGCACTGCATCGAGTCATTCTTGAAACATCATTTCATAGAGCGCCTACGGTTTGGTGTCGTCGCTGCTGCTACTGCTATCGAAACTTGTGCTTTCACTAATGCCAAGAGCCAGAAGCAAACCAGCAGCTCGTCTACAGAGTCCAACAAGGCCATTTTAGAAATGTAAACAAGTGCACAGGATGATTAGACACTCCCTAAGAAAAGAAAAAAATGCTGAAGATAGCCGAGCAGCTCGACTGTACCGGAAATGACAATACCGTGTTGCTGGAGGTCTGGCTAAATTCACCTCAACAAGACGGATCAAAGCGGAATGCATCGTCGCACAGTGGGTTGCTCCAGATCTGCCTGTGCAAAACGTGAGCCTGATTTCGGATCGACCACTGGGATGCAGATTCTTGCCCCAGCTCAACCAGTGGAATTCGCCATAAGACAGCACCCTCTTCGTTGTTGTAACAAGATTGGATATCTTTTTAGGAATGCTGTCGTGCTCAGTTTTTATTGCAATCTCAAATGAAATGCGTACCAGCGAAAAATATTGCAATCTCGAACGAAAGGCGTTCCAGCGAAAATATCAGAAAGAAAGTGCACCTTATACACTGAAAAATACAGTGCTTAGGTACAAGATACTTATGTGGCAGCGAAGGCCACAGGATAGCTCTACGTTTTCTGCATGTTACACTCCTTAGCACTGATTTTCAAGCCTATCACTTGACCTGGCAGTACGCCCTGCCATCATGCAGTTAAAGCCTATTAATGAGCTCAATCCAGACTCTGTCGTTACGTCATAACATTTTTGGAAATTACTGTCACCAGGTGGTCCCATTTTCCAGAATTGCATGACTTTTTGCCTAGATAAGACGCACCAGTGAAAATATCAGAAAGTGCATCTTATACACTGAAAATACGGTACTTAGGTACAAGATGCTGACTTAAGTTTTTGCTTATGTGGCAGTACAGCTCTGTGCTGTCTGCAATGTGCACTCCTTTGCACTGTTTTTCAAGGCTATCACTTCACCTGGCAGTATGAACTGCAATCAAGCAGTTAAAGCCTACTAATGAGCTCAACCAGAGAGTTGTTACGTCATGACACTTTTTGAAATTATTGTCATCGGGTGGTCCCATTTGCACCACCAGCAAAATAAGCTTATCAGATTGAATCAGTCTCTTTGAAGTAACTGTTGTTTCAATGTGGGAAACCAGTGGCAAGATGTATGACAGTGACAAGCTGTAGAGAAGGAAAGTACTTTTATACACCGAACACCGTAGTTTTAAAGTTGTTCTCTCTTCAACTGTTTTAGTCTTGAACGGCTACAGCTATATTTATATAGAGCCCGAAGTTTCGAGACTGATTCGGTCATTTCCTGAGGGGGTGGAGGACTCGATGTAATTGACTGGAGCCATTTCAACTTACTAAATCTTTTACCCAGCTAGACAGATTGCTGTCGAAATGTTTAAGGTAATTGTTCGTCTTTTGTAATTACACTCTGTGCGTGGTGTGTGAATGGTCTCTTTTTGGGGAACAGTGTTAAGAAAAGCAAAATGGTAATTAAATGATAGTCATGAGAAATGCCAACCGAATACAATTTGGCTTAGTCATTTTGGTCCCTTTTATTTTATTTTTTCTCATACTGAGTCATTCCTTTGCAGCTGTGATAGAGAAGAATACCCTTCAGGGTCTGGAAGGCTTCTGCAATGATCTCGGTGAGTTGAGCATGCAGAAACACATCAGATTGCGTGCGACTACTATTGCGCATTTTCTTGTAGCTTGTGTGCATATTTCTAGACACTGTCTACTTAAAGCTGTGCACCAACAGTTCGTTTGAATTAGTGTAAGCATTTATAGGATTGGTTTTGCCAGTTAACATGCATCAGTATGTAGCATGCAAGACTGTCGATCAACAGTAGTGTTTTCTCTCTTTTTTTTTATTATATGAAAGCTATTCTCACACTCTTGTTACACAGGCAAGTTAGCCACGGTTAACTGCATTTAACTGTGGTTAGCGCCACCACGGTTCACCAATGTGCGCAGCACAAAAGTGTCCTCTGTTAAGGTGGCTGACGCCACATTGCATTCAACAAACTGACAACTAATCAGCAGAGCGATGTTCTCCATACAAATATGTCTGTTATTTTACATAATGTTCTGAAAACGTACATTTGTGTGAATATATGAATATATTATGCCAGAACTACATTGTTTGAGGCAGTTCTGTTTTTCGTGCCTGTATATGTACAGGCACTTTGGAGCAATGCTCTGGTATGGTCCTACAACATCGCTCTTGTTTGGCCAGCCATGACCAGTGTTGCTTCTTATTAGCAGGCGCGGGAATTTTTACGCTCTCTCGTCAGTGTGCGTTGATCCTCCATGTGCCCTGACCTTTCCGCGATTAACCGTCAAACCGAGATTGCCAAACGCTGTTTCCTACAGCTGCCGTTAGCACCATAATCTGCGGTTTTGTGTACATTGTAACATCAGGGAACCGCAGTAATGTTAACCTTAGTTTAGGCTGCCTGTATAACAAGAGTATTCATCATTTCATGCATCCCTTAAAAGCTGCAAGGTTGAAGTTTGATTATTGTTCTGGTTGCGTGTGAGGGACTGCTTGGTTAAGTACTTGTATATGTATGTATCCCTGCCAGCAAAGGTACAGATCGATAGCTACCCCGGTGTAGGTCTGCACTTTTTGACTAGCACCTGCCATGTCTGCAGAGTCGGCGCTGCTGCGGGAAGCTGAACGACTTCAGCCGTCTGGCAGTAAACTAAAACAGCGGCGGCGGCGTCTTCAGTGTAACAACCGTAGCAACAGCAACCGTGATCGTTCCAGCAGCTCCCAGGCTGGATTTGGTTCCTCCTTCGGTAAGGGCTGCTGAATAGGCACTGTTAGACATGCTGTATGCAATGACAGTGTCAGACGTCCTCTCTCTACAATCGACTGTGTTAAGTTTCGCCAGCTGTGCAGAGAGTAGCTAGGTTGTTCCATTTGATAGTAGGGTGAGGGGAAACAAAGGGCCATCCCACAAAAAATTGACGAGCACGAAAACAAAAAAATAGTGGAAGAAAGCATGTAATACCAAGCGGTAGTTTATACCATCACTTATCTAGGGGTGGAAGTGCTGTGCCAATTGCGTCATTTTGTGCATATAAGTGCATATAAACACCTATTGCTCTTATAATTTTCAATTGGAAGTGTGAACTGCCAAGTCTAGCTGAATATTATCGTTGACTGAGCTACACAGTCTTGGCTACACAAAGAATGCAATCGCATCCATATCCAGTGTAGTTCGGTGACGTAATTCGTAGGGATTGTAAGTGCTTGTCTCAGCACAATTATCGCCGTGATTCCGCCCAAAAAATGGTGGCACCAACATGAGCAACTAGCAATACAGTGAAAGCTTGATAGTTTGTACTTTCTCTGAATGCGGCACGATGATGCACTAAACAGCAGTGCAGATTTACCGCCAAATACAAATGTGCATCCCCTGATGTGTACAGTCGCCACCAATCAAAATACACACTACCACAGCAGATGTTGCCTTCAGCCCCCACCAGAAAGCTTTTCCTTCCTTTTTGCCAAGGAGCGGAAAAGATACCGCGCTGGCTACCTCGCACAATCGTCTGATGGTGCACAGTTGCGATGCGAAAGAGAATTTTGAAGTTACGTATTACAGGGTCTGGGATGCGCAGGGACTGAGGTAGCAATTATACCGACACTATTGGCTATCTACAGCGCATGCAAACTTGCCGTGTGAATAGATCCTCCCCACACATCCGTGTGAATAGATCCTCCCCCCAAGCACAGATGAGCAGAGCAGCTTGTTTAATTAGCGTGGGCTTAACAAACTTCCTGAAAGGAATTGCATCACGATTTTGTAGTGGCCATGAAAAAGATACATAAGCATCGCTTGTTTCCTCCAAGTTATTTCTCTGTCAGTTGTGGTGTTTAATAGCTCGCTAGTACTGAATGTTTAGTGGAAACTACTGGAATTTTTTTTTTTTCGTTTACGAGAAATAAATTATTTCTATTAACAGGCATGTTTGACTCTAGAAAGCTAAGCTGCTCAGAACTAACTTGCATTGCTCCAAAACTGTCGTTTTAGCACTCCGAAGTTGCTCCAAGACACTGTCGTGTCACGAAATAGTTCGACATAAAAAATAACTCAATTTGCAAGAGTCTCACAGAGACACGTTTGGCTGTACAATCGCTTACTGGACAAGGTTTGACATGTGCTGCGGTGTTCTTGCTTGCAGGACTTGCCAGGGTCTCTGAAGGTCGTCGTCTGGCAACTAGCACGGCTGTCAAGCTCCTGCTCGTGCTGTAAGTGGCATAAATTGAGCAAAGTGCACTTGCATGACTAATAGTATTGCAAGAATAAAAAACGCTAAGCAGGGTCAAGTTTTTCTGAACAACCCACTGATGTCATGACTGTTAATCTGCTAGCTACTTGTTGAAAATAAACTCTCTTTATTTCAAGAGATTCGAATGACAAACACAGTTTGCAACAAACGGGGCAGTTTTCCACTGTGTCTTGCTATAATTCATTCTTTTTTCATAATTTTGTGTACGTACTTTTCCTGAATCCTCTCCTTGCTTAGCTTATTCCTTGCTTTCACAAGCACTTTCAATTATATGCCGAAAGGTATTATGTCTTTCCTTTCTTCCCTCAATTTTTCCACTGCTGTTTATATGTGAACTTGTTGCTGAAGTGTTTGTCCACCCTTGTGGAGTATGCAGCTGAAATGTACGCTCTGGTGACGTCTATCAACAGGGTGAGCTTGGTACTGCTGATGAACGTAGCGTTACTCTACTGGTTGTGGACGTCAGCTGCTACATCTGATAAACCGCCCGCACTCGACGTCTGGATGCTCGAGTGAGTGCGCCTATGTTACGGATATAGATTGGTTTCCATGTAGATGTATTTTACAGGTACGTTACTAAGCAGAGCAGCATCAGAATTTGATTGGCCTTTTTCACGATGCCCTGGCAGACGCATCCTTTGCCTAGTAGAATAGTTGCGAGACGTATTTTCGTGTTGGAGGCCTCGCTTTTGGCAATACCGGTTGTCCCAGCTCCTACCAAAGCTTGACCAAAGCAGCACATGGTAGCACAGCAAAGGGAAAGAGGTGGATTACAGAGCTACAACTTAGTTACCATGCAACGTAGCATCACAGCATGTTGCATCAACGATTGGTCGTTTTGCTCGTGAAATTTTGCATTTTAGGTTTGCAAAAGTGCATTGCATCGGGTTACGCTGTTTCCTTTTCATTGAATGTTACATTAAAATCAGTGATCTAGAATTGCTGCCTAGTGGCAAAACTTGGTTGTGCAAAGCAACAATCTAGTTTTGCTTAGCAAACTGTTCATAGCATGAAGAGACAATAAAGAGACAATTCTTTAAATCAGCTTGGAGTGGTACATTATTCTTTGAAAACTAAGTTTTTCTTAATTTTGCAATTGAACTTTTATTATTGACAGAGAAAAAGAGACTCAGTTACGTATGTTTTTTTTTTTTTAATCTTTCAACGAATTTCTAACACTGGTACATCCTTGAGATGTCACGGATTCCAAAGCACACTCTTATATTTAAGCCACACTGTCCTAGTATAAATTTTTATACATGTAATGGTAAGTCCCTAGTTCCTTTAGAACTTGATGAAGTCTGTTCTTACTTGTTAGAAAACTGTGGAGGATCTTGCAAATGTTTTTTAATTTGATGTTATGGTGAGCCAGTGCACAAGGTTCAAAGTGTCGTTAAAACTCATGTTTTTACCTTATTTTTCCTCTCTGATTGCTTATCAAGCGCCTTTTTGCACGCAGCAAGTTTTTTTTGTATTGTAGAATGGGAACTTACCAAAACGAATGAACTTCTTTTTTCTCTTTAGTGTAACCCTAAGAAATCTTAAGCTGAAAGAAAGCATTACTGGCCTCCTACTTATTTTCCTCCCGTCACAGGCCACCTCCGCAGAATGCTCAAGACTGGGTGCGCCTCATGTCTCAGAGAGAGGCATTCCATCGACAGCGTCATGACCTGTGGCAACGTGCCCTGCATGACCTGAGGCACCAGCTGCACACGGTGAGACTCCTCACTGCATACCAGATGTCTCATCACTGCAGCAGCTCCGTACATTCGCAGTATTGCTTAGTCACACCATGGACAGAAAAGCGTGCAAAACATGGACACCAAAAGAATGAGGACAGTGTGAATGTTTTTGGGGGCGATGCTCCTTAGGGTTGTAGGTCTGTAGATCCTATGGGGCTTGTTGGCATATACCCGCTCTAATACCCGCTCTAGAGCGGGTATGTGCCACAGGGGGTGGGAAATGGCGGTACTTGGAGTGTTCACTAGATAGACGCACGGTGGACAGACAGACAGACTAGCAGACTGATAGACACAGCGATGCTGAACGAGTTTGAACGTCTAGGGCCGACATCGACTACCGACATTGACGCAGCGGTATCAAAGATCCCTGCGAGAAGACGTTGACTCTTCCTACGTGTTCACCATTGCCCTCCTCAACGTTCGTTCTCTCAATGCACATGTGGACGATGTAGAACGGGACCCCATACTAACCGCAGTCAACGTGTTCTGCCTTACCGAGACATGGAACGCCAAACAACCGTACATCAAAGGATACGTTCCCGTCGTGTGTACCGATGGATCAGAACGTCTTGCAGGTGGTGTTGCCATTTACGTGAGGCAAACAAAATCGGCTGAAGATCTCAAACTACCACTGACAAGTCAGTTACAACAGAGAACATGCAGCCATCAAAGTCCTTGATTCTGGAACCATATTAATAGCCATGTATCTAGCTCCTAACCTGTCGGTCAGAAATGTCAAGGCATACATAGACGCGGAACTACTCACCCTTCATTTCACGGACCATAAAGCCGTCATAATGAAGGGACATCGCAAGCCATCCATTGTCTCCAAGAACAAAAAAGTTGATTTCTATATATACACCCACAGTGTTTCTCATAATGTCTTTAGATCATGATCGACTGGGCGAATTACACACGGAAGATTCACAGTTTTACCGACGATTCTCTCCGGAGCTTCACCCACTCGTCGTCATTCACCCCGTGGATATGCTGTGATTTTTTTTCGTCAACTTTTTTTTGTCTGATTTTATACCACCCGGTGGTAGAAAATCAGACTAAAAAAACATACCCAATGCTTGAAGCCTGGCATATTTTTTAGTGGCAACGTGTGCTTAAAAAATCTGGTAAAGCCCCCCAAAAAATTGTCATGGGCATCCATCTTTCACGATTACCCATGCACGTCCTTCTGTATGCACAGATAGGTATCAGATCTGCTTTTTTCGGCACCACTGTTTGACTCTTTCAAAGTTGGCATTTGCATTCTTTTTCCAGTTTCTGTTGAATAGCTTCGTTTTATGGCACAAGGCCAGCTTTGACCAAACAGGCAAGAATTTTGTACGTAACATATCTGCAGAAGAGCTTCAAAGTGGTCACTGTGGAAGTGCAAGTTTGGAATAAAAAGTATGTACAGCCGATCCCAGATATGTCGAACTGGATGGGGGTCGTGAAATAGTTCGATGTATTCATAATTCAAAATACTACAAAATATTTGTATCGTAAGACATAAATGAAGACATTGCAAAGCTCAAAACAGTTTCAGAAATCGTAACAACTGCTAACATGACGATTTACTTGCAGTATGCTGTAAAACAAAGTGACAACTTCGAGGTTATCAAGTCACGGCAACATCACTGCACAGTTGAAAACTCAAGAAAATTTCTCAGCTATTTAATATAGCCAATAATTCGATATACACTTCTACCTTGATATAACGAACATGGATATAACGAAATATAAGTTACAACAGTATAAATAAAGAATATTCTTGCAATAGATGCAGTGTTAAAATTACCTTTACAACAAATTTTCGAATATAATGTACTTATTTTCGTGTAGGATGTAACTTTGTTATACTGAGGTTTGAGTGTATCAGAGTTTGATATGTCTCCAAAATCGACTGTGAATCTCAAATAGGGTTGTAGCGATGCGACAGTATCTGATGTAGACATGCTGTCGTTACTAGTGTAATGAGAGAATGAAGACATTTGGCAAAATCCCCTGTCTGTCTTTATTTCCTCACTATTTCATTGTTTCTTATTCTGATCTGTTCTGTGCTTCGCTTCTACCTTCTTCAGAAGGCACGCACATTAAAGAAACATGTCTATGTTGCATATCCGTCATTTCAACATTAGTGTGCTGGCCACTAGGATTTATTACAATTGAACGCCGCTTCAATGAAATTTCCACTTCAAAGAAAAATTCATGGTTCCCCGTGAGAGGTCTATAGGAGTCAACGCATATATATGTTGCCACAACGAACACTTTTTTCTTCTGCTGTCCTGCTTCAACAAAATTTCACGATGCAATTCCAGGCTCAGAAATTTATTGCCAATCTTTAACACTTTGATGCATTTTGAAAAAATGAAAAATACGTCGACGAAGTCTAAAACACGCGTTGGCACCACGAGAAACCACCGCTGTTCAGCAAGCATGGGCGCCGGCATTGCTCGATAGCGATGGCAATGAAACAGCCCTGCTCATGGAAGATCGCCTTGCTTTTGCTACTGACTTGTTTCCGAGCCGCAGATGATACGAAGCTGAAGCTCAGTCGCTCAGTTCATGGTTTCCTTCATGCATTTCCTGATTTCAATACTTATTATTTTATTCATGCTTGGCCAGTGTGGTACCAAATCAGAGCGGCTGTTCTCCGCATTATCACCAAACCAGCCAGTAGTAAGATTTGGATGATAATAACGACATAGAATAAGGCAAAAGTCACCGCTCCACGATATTATGCCTCCATCTCGGCGTTGTCGGGTACACTTTGACGGCAGACGGCTGCTGGTGTTAACATGTTAATGCAACTGTTTGGTACATTTACGAATGCAATTGTAGGTGTTATTTTAGCAGTTTTAACCATGGCCATGCATGACTGTGAATTGCGTTGTGACGCTGCTGGGAAAAAATAGGAAGCAGCGGACACTTTTTTAATTTTAAGAACAAATGTTCCTTTGTTTAGCTAGCTCAGTTCAGCTATATTTTTTTCGATTTCACTACAACGAAATTCTTGCTTCAACGATATATTTTCCGCGCCCCGTGAGTTTCGTTGTAGCGGGGTTAGAGTGTATGGGCCAAATTACTAGGCGATGCTTAAAAATGTACTGAAAATCTCCTCATTTCTCAAGTTTGCATTGCTAAGAAGTAACTGTCTTCACAGTCAGTCGTAAGATAACAAAAGGATGAAAAGAGAAAGTGCCAGCTAAGTTATTGCAATGCATGCACTAGGTACAGCTTAGTTTTCTAGACAGCTTATGCTAAATGGCAGGATGAAAAGCATAAACAACTTTGCTATTAATATTTAAGTTTTATGAGTGATGCTGATGCTTCATCCAGGCCTTTATGCCTATGCTTTTTCAGAGGTTTGAATTTCCATACCGTGCAGCCCAACTTCCCTCTCCTTTTGATTTCATTTGCGACAGCCATGAACCTAAGTGCAACATTGTGTCCATGCAGATGGAGTCTTCGTTGCAGCAGCTGCAGGATACCCTGCGGGTAGTCCCGGTTACAAACAGCAGTGTTCCGTCGCCCACTGCACCTTCTACTTCTTCGTCCGGCGACTTATGACGCATCATCTAGTCCATGAAGGTAGAGGGGAGGTGTCTCTTGTCCTCTTCATCACCGTCCCTCCTCCTCTCCTGCCTTCGAAGCAGCAGCTTGCCTGCACCAGAGAATGTATGTGTGTGTGTGCGTGCACGGCCACGTGTGATAGAGAGCAGGGGGACACTCCCTGCTGTGCAGGGTCGCACCCCCGACTAGGTTGTGCCCTCCTAGTCTCTCTCTGCTGGCACCAACCTGTCCTGCCCGGAAGCTGTGTTGAGGTGCAGACTGTGCCGCAGAAACGTCTACGACAGCAGGCAGCACAAAATTTGCAGGGCTATTTTTGAAATGGACAGGCACGCAAGCATCCGAACTAGTAGCTGAGCGTATTGTAGTATAAGGGAAATGGGCATCATATATCTTTTGAATGGAGGCACACACTTGACGAATGTACGATAGCGAAGCAGCCACATGATGCCCGTACAAGCTAAAAGCTAAGGTATACACTCAAAAGTGCACCAGTGGCAGTGATCTTTCAGTTGTTTATCAAGAACAGAATGCATTCTTTCTTTTTTTGTGTGTGTGTAGGTCAGGATCGTTATCGTATTGTGGCAAAATGGGATCCAGTTACTAGACGTGACTCGTGTGTCTGCTCCTGATAGTCCTGTTTTGTGCTGTTCTCTTTGTCGAGACATCTGCATGTACTAGCGTGCCAGTCCCACCACAAACGCAGCTTTGGCCTCCTGGGCAGTCGTCCTCGTCAGCAGAGTTAGCAGCGGCAGTGGCCATGCCCCTTGCGGGCCAACGTGCCTGGCAGCCGGTCTGACGGGCACCGTTCCCTATTATGGAATGAGGGAGTGGCCTCTCCTTCCTCAACCCCCACCAATCGACCTCAACAAGTCATGCCCGATTTGTGTACGACGTGTCGAGACGCTACAGAGTATTTTGTTGTTTCGCTCTTGTTGCTTAAATTTATGAGGTGTAGTTTTGACGTTGTTGGTTGAATTTTGCATGTTTCAAAGTATGTCTACCTGGCATAGCTTACCAAGCCAAAGCCTGTCGTGTCACTTTCTCCCCAATACACATGATCATAGACCTGTAATTTAAGGGCAATAAAATATTTTTCTTGTATTCTTCTCTGTTGTGCATTAATTTCATTCTGAATACACCCACAAAATAAAATTAACTGATTGAAGCATGCATTTGTCTTTTTGAAGTGTGTTTTCTGAATGGGCACATAGCATCATATAATAAAATCTCGCCGATTTAACCCTCGTTGGTTCAGGAAATCTGCTCATTCTGGTGTATTCTGCGGTCCCACCAAAAACACGTATTGCTTAATGGCATCAAACCTTTGTTAATTTGCCATATTTTGTTGCAGTGCAGTAAATTTGGACGATCCTAGGAGCGTACAGAGCGTGAAGCACTGCAAATGTGTAATGCAAGGGAGCTAAACTGTATTTGAAAAAAAAACCTCAATGGTTGTTGGCCTTCAGGGAAGGTTGGATCCACACACAATCTTGCTACAACCGCATTGGTGGCCCTGAAGGCTTCAGCAGTTGCAGCAAACTTTTCTCACTTTTGTTTTTACTCTGCAAACTTGAATTGCGTTGGCATTATGTATGATTGGGTCGATGGAGATCGGGGTCAAAGCTACAACAAGCAGTAGTTTTGTATTTGTTGCGTGCCTTTAACTGCGTAGACTCCATCCATAACTGTCATAGTGAGCCAAGTTTCTTGAGCAGCACAGTGCGGTGCTCGGCAGCTTTGTTTCTTTAGCAGCATGCCTTCACAAATTCATGGACTATTGATCGTGTCATTCACCATAGTTTCGTTCAAAGTGGACGTTGCTCACAGAAGCTTCCTTTTGTCTTCAGGTTACGAGCTTGCAGTGCCACCAAACTCAACCTTGATAGAAGCTGTTGGAAGAGCTTCAGATGTTGTCTACATGCCGGCTTAAAACGAGCTTCTTACGATGTGATGGACGAACAGCCGTTTGCCAGCCATATTTCTGGCAAAGCAAAGTGCGTGGATCGCACTACTAGCGCAAGCCTGGCACAACTAATGGAGCTTGTGTTCGACTTAACTAAGTTTTTGATAGTAATCCTCAGGCCTTAGCTAGTCGAACTAAGTATAGACTTGGCTAGACATTTCACATGACAACCTGTTTCATGGTGTGGTTTTAGTCACGTGACCAGCTGTTACATGGTTTTTGGCAGGAAAATGACTGAACGTTGGGTTATTTTTAGTGGCACGATTAAACATTGTGCAATATTTAGTTATTGGGGTAGTTAGATTTTTAGCCACATGACCAATTGTTATGGCAATATAGCATGTTTAGTTAAGCCGCTAGTTATATGATGTTACGTGCTTTTTAGTTGTACGACGTCATGGTTCGGTAGTCTAGTGGCTAAGGTACCCAGCTGCTGACCCAAAGGTCGCGGCATGAATCCCAGCTGCGGCGGCTGCATTTTCAATGGAAGCGAAAATGCTGTGGGCCCGTGCGCTCGGATTTAAGTGCACGTTGAAGAACCCCAGGTGATCCAAATTTCCGGAGCCCTCCACTACAGTGTCTCTCATAAACGTATGGTGGTTTCGGGGCGTTATACCCCACTTATCAATCAGTTACGTGATGGTTCGCAGTTTCATACTCGTCACTATTTGTGATGATATTTTTGATACACATAGACTCATCGATCATAGTTTTTGTACTCCATGCCAGACAAATCGGCACATGTGTTGTGGGAGTGGAGAAGCTGAAGGAGGGCATAGCAAGCAAATTCCGGTTCATGATAATGAGCATTTCTGTTTGCGCTACCCGGTGCAATGAAAAGCTTGAAGAGCTCTGCTCAGTCTCATGCACATGGTGGTGCTCGAAGTAAGTAATAAGGGATGGGTTCCAAACAAGCTTCATCCTGAGACATGGGAGTTTTAAACCATAGTCGCAATATGGTCGAAGTGGCAAAGGGCAAAAAAGGCAGCTTTTGCCATCCTTTCCCCTAGGTACTGGATTTACATATTAACCTAGAAAATTGGCAATGCATTGATAGCCCATTATTTTTTTAATGCTTTTAATAATTTGGCATTCACTTTTAAAGCTGTGCAAGAAGGCAAACTTTTCCGCAAACATATCATTGATATGTTCACTACCGAAAATTGCTATGTAACATTGCTTGTTCAAAGAATTCTTTGAGCACTTCAAGTAATGCTCTCAGTCTTGTATTATATTCTCGCACATGGATCGCTACAAAATATTTTCAGATCCAAGTACGAGCACAGCTACAGACACCTATTGCATACTCTAAATGTTTTCCTTCTGTTGCTTCAAGTGAAGTGGAAGCTAAACAGGGAGGGATCACAAGGCATGAAAAAGCTACGTCACATACGCATCATTAAATGCGACTGCAACGTCTTGCCAATATTATGGCGCGCACTGGTGTTGCTACAGTCCTGCTACTGCTAATCCTGTGCAGCAATTTGAAAAGTCATTCAATAGGCAATGCGTTAGCTGTGACAGCAGTGCACGACTTGTGGAGTATCTTTTCAATTCTCTATGCCTTACTTTGCACTTTACCTCTACCCATTGTGTACTGAAAATGTACTATAATATATAGATACTGTACTGGGCCAGCTGATAATTCACTGTACAAAGAAAGCAGTACTACAAAAAGGCAAGCACTGAGAAAGACGACGAAGGTGCTGTGTCGTGTCTTTCTGGGTCCTTGTATTTTTGTTCATGCTGTTCTTGCAAAGAGCTGGAGGTAGTCACATCATTTGTGACAGGTTATGCAATGTTCAGCCAATATCCAATCACTTCTCCACTTTGCGAGTTTTCTACATTAAGGCTATTTTGTAATTAATATGGGCAAGCATGCGGCTGATACGGTTGATCAAGTGCTAGCCACTTGTCACAGTAAGCAGGAGCATGTTTACTGTGTATTCAATAGATTTTGAAAAAGTCATTCCACTAATATCTCCATGATGACAAACAACCGCTCACAGCACAGTGTTCGTGAGGAAAAGCACAACTGCCACAAGCTGCAGTGCGTGCAATCTTGGTAGATGTTCCAGGCGGCACTGTGGCTAATGGAAGTTGAAGGCACTGGAGCTAAGAAATGCTATGCAACTGGCATAGGGGCTCTTCTAAACGCACCGAATGCAGCACCTTGATGTGCAATGTTGCACATCAAGGTTGATTGATGATTGACAGGTTGTCCTTCTGAAGAAGGTACACTTATACCAATGTGGGCAAGTTAAGTGAATTTATGGGGAGTACGCTTTGGAATACTAAATAGGAAAGCATTGCACTTGTAGCAAAGCAATGGCAACAGTCTGTAAGTGCAATTTATTGAGGATGTAGATAAAGAATTAATAGTCTGTAATGTTATTGTTTTACATCAAATAATAGGTAAAAAGAAAGGTATGTTGTTGGTGTTTATTTTCCAGCCAATAAACACAGCTGTCTTTTACACAAACATAGACAGCCAATACCCGTCATTACACGAGAAGACTGGTTCATGGAATGTACTCGGGCCGGAGTACAACCTTCTGCAAGTGACACTCCAGTCGCGTCGCGCACTTTAATTAAGTGCGCGACACACTTAATTAAAGTGTAATGGGCATTACACTTAATTTAAGTGTAATGCCCATAGGTAGACGTAACGTCGGTAGATTGACACGGATATTAGGTGTGTTCTTCAGTAGGCTACCCTGTGGACTGCATAGCACAACGACGCCGTTAGTGTTCGCAATTTTCACCACCAAGTGCGCTAGGACGCAGGCCGGGTCTGCTTCTTGTCCGCTGCTTTGGCAGGCTTCACGTCTGCAGTCTCGGGCTTGGGTGGCTCGGGTGGGAACTTGGCCGCCAGCTCAGCCAAGAGCATATCGACGCGACGCCGTTGGAACAGGCTAGCGCCGGTGTTGCCCGCTGCATTGCTGCTGGTAGCTGAGGGTGTCGTCGTAGCAGTGGTAGCAGCAGGTGTGTCCTTGAAATTCCACCAGTATCCGCGCGAAGGGTGGTACCTTGAGTAGCCCAGGGCTTCGTGGAGCGCGCCCTGTAGCGAGTGAGCAGCGCCCAGAAGTCTTGAGTTGATCACTGAGCCAAGGTCTGGTGCCTGGTAGACAACGCCTGCTAGCACGTAGTAGTCTGCCAGTGGGGTCACCTGTATGATGTAGGCACAAAAAAAGAAAACAAATAAAAGTGCTGAAAAATATTGGACAAGTCAAACCGGTAAATAATACAGGTAAGCGAGATTAAACAAGATGCAATAATCAGTAGAGAAGCACCAACCACGCTTGAACAATGCAAACGAAGCTTGCATAATGGGAAAAGTAATTAAAAAAAATGCCGTGTATACCCGTGAGTATAAACAATGGGAATTTATTCAAGTTATTAGCTCGGGCACGTTTAGTTTACAGAACAACCACGGCGTGTAGAAAGCGTTGGGAGAGAACCACGCACAGCTGAACAGTGCCAACGTTTATAGAAACGGTTCTATAAACGTTGGACAGCACCGCGTGCGTGTGTGCGCGCGTCATTTTCTCTTGGCGTTTCTTTCACGCTGCAAAATCAGAGCGCGAAAAAAAAATGCAATACTGATTGCTGAAATACACAAGTTAAGTTTACCAAGCGCTAAATATTTCGATTGAAGGATTCAACGCTAGGCTCCATGCTTCGTTTGAATACGTCTAAATGGTCTGTACGCTCTTCCGCTCGACACATTGATGCAGTTACTCACCTGGGTAGGCGAGTGGCGATGCTGTTTTCGCACCACGTACAGGATGGGTTCTTGCGCGTGCAGCAGCACATACTCGAGTCCCGTCATGTGGTTCAACTGGTCGGGGCTCAAGCGCTGCATCTTGACGATCTCGTTGTTACACGTGCGGTCGTAGAACGGATTGCTGCGTTCCGAGAAGTAGTCCATCACATTGGTCGGGTCCAGCGCGGGCAGCCAGGCCGTGTCGTGCCACGAAAGCACCAGAGGGTTTTCTTTTCCAGGCTCCATCCTGCAGCGTCGATCGAGAAACTACCACACAGAAGCCGGCGACCGCTGCGGTGAAGCGCGCTAGACGCACCTAGCTCACGATACCCTGATAAATATTATATATATATATATATATATATATATATCCTACAGCTTCCTTCGCGAGGTACAGGACTCAATAAAACTTCAAGCGCACAAAGAAGCAATACACAGTAACGACCGTGTGACAACCGATCGCTGCGTGCGCTGCTATATAAACACATTCAGACGCTTCTACAGGGTTGCCAGTTTGAAATATGCGAAGCAGTCAAAATATCCGAAAAGTCTTAATTTATTACAGACATGAAACACCACCAAGTCGTCTTAACAAGTAACTAAACAAAAAGTTGTTGCTTGAATTTTTTGTTAAAATGTTTTTTCTAAGTCACCATTCATTGTAAACAAATGTGTCCAACGAAGGACGCGGGAATACGAGAAGGTTTTGAACAGCACTTTACGATTGCCTCTATATAAGGGTCAGAAACAATGGTAGAAAATTCACTAAGTTTGTGAGTTTGTGTGTTCTCTTTGGGGGCGTTCTGCGTTATGTGCGAATCCCAATCATATGTCTCCGAAGTGCTCCGAAGTCAACCGTGATGTGACGTTCGTCAACTGGGAGCGATCTCCCAACCGGCCACTCCAGTTACGAAAACGTTAGTGATCATTTCTTTTATTATTCTTTCGATATTCCTTCTAAGTCAAGAACGCAGCCAGAAATATTGCCACGTTCCACAATATTTTCGGAGGGAGGGGGAGGGGTTCTGCTACCCACCCTCTTTTCGGGGGAAAGGGGTGAAATCACCCCACTGGTTACACCACTGCTCGTAAGTCGAGATTTCGTCTGACTTGTGCATCACCATCCAGTGAATGACATTAGTTCGCCTTGTGTAAGGTTGATGTTATGAATTTGCTATTAACTTTGTACAGCTGTCTATACGGGATACGTCTACGCTTGCACGCGCTTACCTGCAGCTAGTGCGCGTCTGTTCACGCACGTGAAAATCACTTCGGCCTCATACGCGAGTTTTCAGAGAGTGTGCATAAAAGAGAGCTACCGCCTTCATAGTTTAATCATTATCATTTCAGCCTATATTCTTGTCCTCTGCATGACGACGCCTTTTCATCGGTAATGATATCCAGCCCCTCCCCTCTCCCTTCTCACCAGATGTCCGAAGGGGGGGGGGGGGGAGGGTATGCGAATTCGGCCCCATAGTTTTACTCCCTCAAACGTGCAAGGTGTTAATGTGCTTATAAATATATGTGGATAATGTAATCCAAACGAAAATTTCAGAGCTAAATAATTCCGCAGATCCCACGTACCTTCGAAATCGACGTAATGTGAAGCACGTGGAGGGATGGTGACCGTATTGTAATTTTTTATTGAGGGACACATTGTGAAATGATCGTAAATTTATGCGCAAATATTGCACGTACAGACAGAGGTTAAACAGTTTCAAATGTTTAAATAACCAGTTGCTGGCGTTTGCGCAACGATGCCAACGGAAACATGAGTATTAGCAACACCAGAAGCGATAAGCTGATATGAAGAATTGCTCGCGAGAATGGTAGCCTTGGACACTGCTACAGAAATCAACTCGAACTGCTCGTGAGGATGGTAGCGCTGGACTCTGCTACATAAATCAACTTCATCGGATGGCACATAACCGCAATTGACGTTAACCCGATGTATCATAGGAGTATATAGTATGTAATGTTTATAAATTTGGCTAGCCAGCACTGCAACCACGATTGATGTTTCATGAACATTAGCGTCTGTTTGAAAAGTAGTTGCGAGACCTGGCGTGGCTATGGGGTAGAACACTTGATTGTCACGCAGAATGCTGAGGTTCGATTCCTGCTGGCAGCCTGATATTTATTCCTTGCATTCGTCGGGTGAACGCTGCTGATGTCAGCTTGTTATCAACACCCACGCGTTAGAATTACTTATGTGTGTGCCCGCCATGCCTGGGTAGACGCTAAGCGTCAGTCTATACTGTGGCACATACCCGCATACCAGTGGCCCATACCCGCCCGTGGGTATGTGCTACTTTCTGACTTTCTGGCGGGATGTGTTTGACTATATACGTACGCGACGGGATGGTGACATTGTGTTCACCAGCGCGTCATATTTGTTGAACCACCCCGTGCTAATCCCGTACTAATTTTGGTTCACCCGAAGTTAACGGAGGGATTACGAGAGCACAAAGACATAAGTGGCTAGATAGATAGATAGATAGATCAGATAGATAGATAGATAGATAGATAGATAGATAGATAGATAGATAGATAGATAGATAGATAGATAGATAGATAGATAGATAGATAGATAGATAGATAGATAGATGCCAAAAGTGCTTGCATTACGCAAAGAAATGCATTCAATACAGTGGATGGGAACCCCGGTGACCGCCATGGCGTATGTGACGTCACGTGCTGCGTGGAGCAGAGCCATCATCTTATCTCAGTTTGAGCCGTTGAAAATAGTTCAATTTCAATGCCAAGCGGAACAAATCTCAGCCGTCTTGGCTTCACGAGCAGCTGAGGACGGAACAAAATTGTTCGTCGGAATGCGCATGCTCACTCCAAGCCACGGAGGAAGGAAAAAATCCTTCTTCCATGCTCCAAGCAGCTTGTTGCATCACGGTACAGTAATCAACGGCTCGAGAGGGTGTCATTGCTGCCCGACCCTCGGGCCGCTCTCGTGTTGATAAAAAAGGTTCAGTTATAATTGAAGTGCCTGACCAAATGTGCGGAAATTTCGCCAGCTGGTTTGTGAACGCACATGAATTACTCACATAAATGACATTCTACAATCGAAAATTGGCTTTCAGCATGTGTCTTTTAGACTCCACCAGAAGGGGGTTCGGGGGACACTGAGATGAAACTCTCTTCTCTCACTGGGCAGTTGAAAAAAGTTTGAGCGACCAAACATCGTCCCTGATTAGGAAAGCTGCTTACGCTTATGACCGTGTATCTTGCGCTAGCTGATTCCATTTTGCGTCCGAGAAGTTGCTAACCATATTTTGGTAGCGATGTAACGTCAGTATCTTGCTTGAGTTCGTTTTCGCTCAATGCAAAGCCAACCTTGTCTTGTGCGCTTTATTGCTTTGCCTACGCGCTCTGACGTGGCAATCACATGTTGTGTGGATACTATGCTTTGACTTCAATCATGTTGCGATATTCTTTCTTCCGTGTAGCGAGCGTATACACATGCATAGAAGCCCGCAGACAGCGCTTCGTAGAATGTGGGATGGGCTTTTCGCTCAGCTGGGGTGAAGTTGTTATACTAGCCTGGTTCCTTCACACCTGTGATTATCCGTCCTAAATGCAACATCGCAAGCGGCTGCAACGGCCTATAGTAAAGTTGTGGGACAACTAGAACGCTCCCACAGGAGTGGAAGATTGAGAGTGAATTAAGCATGAAGATGAATGACGTTCACGCTCGTGAAACCACAGAGTGCACAGTAATGCCTGAGGAGACCCTTGCTGCCAACCGCAATTGATGTGCACGTCGTGTATATATCACTGAGTCTACGGTGTGAGAAAAATCGTGCCTGAGACCTAGCATTCTTACGCAGGCAGGCAGTAATAAGTAAACAACTTTATTACTTTTTTAAAAAAACAACCTTCTTAAGGCAGGCAGTAATATTTCTCAGAAAGACCTCACGTGTGTAGCATTGTAAAAGAAAGAAGTGATCTCGAGACATTGAGAGAAGACGAAGTGCTCGTGCGCTCTCAAAAGGACGGCTTCCACGTCGGCTCTTCTCGCAAAGCTCAGCTATGACTGAACAGCCAAAACAGGGCGACCGTGGACGCGGAACAACTCTTACCCCGAGCGATGTTCCACAAGATGCGCAACCAGCCGCGGCTGTGCCGTCTCAGAACGCGCAGTCCCACGTTGACGACCGAAGAGTGTCCGATGCCTCGGTCGCTGGTGGTAGGAACGGTGCCAGGCGCCATTCGCGACGTCGAAGCAGGTCAGCGTCCATCCCTCGGTCGTTCTCGGAAGTCCACATTACCATCCCGGAGCCGCTGACGTGCGTGCCTGGCCATACCCAGACTGGCCCGGCTACCGAAAGTGACCGATCGTCCAATGAAGCGTCGACGGCTGCCGAATCCGAAGAGGACGTGCCGACGACTATCTTCCGGACTGCCAGCGGCGCTGTACGTTTTCAGAAACGCGGTCGCTCTCACGTTGATCGCAACAGGCGTGAAAGCAGAACGTCTCTCAGTGAACACTTCGGGTATCAGACGTTACCGGCGACGCAGGAACGGGCACTCCGTAACGCAAGTCGTCGAGACAGTAGCCAGCTACGCAGGCGACGCAAGACGGCCAATGCATCTCGGTTAGGTAAGTGCGCGACCTATACGCTTCCGGTGTGACCTGTGCCCCGTCAGTGACTACCTCGCGAAGTTTTCTTCGCAATAAGTTATAGCCATTGACACATAACACGCTTAGTGCAATGCCACGTTTCTTTTATAATTACGGATGCTTTCATTATAAACACCGCAAACTTCATAGTAGGCCCTTTGAGTTACTTTGTGTTGTCATGTTGGTGGATGCATATAGGTGGTTGCATCATCAAACAATTGGAACAGCCTTGCATATATAACTTTGATGAGTGGCAGCTTGTACTGCCTCTTTCGCCAAGCTTCCTAACTGTGGGGTTTTGTGCAATTAAAATGATTGGTGTAATCGACCCGGAACCCCCTCAGGCGCCATTTAGTGTCGGCCGCCATCACTGCCTTTCAGATTGCGTGATGGACGTATAGATATACGGCGTGCAGGAAATGAAGAATTCCCGAGTGTTCTTTTCTTTTTCTTTTTTTTTTTGGTTCGAGGTGCAAGTCATTGTTGCACGCTCCTTTTTTTTTATGTAATAGGGGGCACATATAGCACATCGAATCCCAAATCGTAAAGATCGGGTATCTATAGGCCGAAGCAATGCACATCAGTGTAGGCTCGACGAGAACAAAACGAGACCCGGCAAGCCAAACGGCTCTTCGTATTCTGACGCGTTCTTTCGGTTAATGTAAGAGTCCCTCGGAATTTTTCGTTTCTCATAGTGTCCGTCATAGACGTACGCATTCCGCTTCTTTTGTAATTGATTCTGTGCACCACAGGGCGACTGCTGACACCGCGACGAAGCGCGGACCTTAGCCAGACTCGTGAGAGCTTCGTGGATCATCCAGATACATCCGAACCTCCTGTAAAGGCGGCAGTGGCACACA